ATTATTAAAAAAATTTTTGTTTGAATATTTTAATTTTATAAAAATATAGATCATAGCAGTATTACACAAATTTTCTAGGCAAATTTGTCTAGAAATAGCCTACAAATTAAGTGATAATATTAAATAAAATACAAAAACAGATTTATGATTATATAATAATATATTATTCTATAGTTCTTAAAAATAAGATAACTAAACTAATAAAACCTTTATATACAATTGTTATAGGTATAGTTAGTATTGTATGCAGATATTATTCTGTTAAAATTGTATGAATATAGACAGTTCTAGACAGTATTCTATATCCCTGACAATATTTTATATTCATGATAGTTATCTTATATATATAGTTTATTAAACAATTCAATTAGCTAACATAGCTATTTTTATTATAATTTTAATTATTCAGAACAAAAAAATATTAGTAGATATGTCTAGGACATTCTGTTTCAGACTGTCTGCTATTTGTATTCATGTTTTATAATAATATTTGATATAGTTAGTATTAGTAAATTATATATTATTAAAGCAATTTACAATTATATATATATAATAGTACAAAAATATAAAATTAATTCAGAAGAATCACTGCTATTTTGCAAATATCTGCATGTTGTTTCTTATTTGTGAGGCCTCTAAAGTGTATCTTTCTGATATATATCTTCTCTTCTGGGTTTTCACTATAGAGTGCCTTCTTTAATACATCATCTTCAAGTGAAAGATTCAACATTGTTAATGTTTCAAGGCTTGTTAGATATAGAGTTTCCTCTTCTAAATTTCTCTATATTTTTTAGTAGATTTTGCATTCTGCTAAATGATACAGGGTTTTATCCTTTTTAAGACAAGCTATGTATCTTTTGCTCTTATATAATTTGGGGTTTCTCAAATAGCAAATATCTTTCATTAGTAAAATATTATTGATGCATTTTATATAGAACATGAGGTCTCTGCTTTTCTTTAAACTGATATACTTTTTTCCTTGTCTTTTCTTAAGTGTTTCTCAAGTATTTTTCTAGACTAGCTCATTGCTATAGTTAACTCCTTGCTTTAGAGCTATAATGTCTGCTACTTTATTTAGTTCAGCCTATTCTAATTCATATATTATCATAGTTGTTATATTTATGAATGATCTGAATGACCTGAGTGAGCAGTCTATTATTTGGTCTAGTAATTCAAATTGTTAGTTAAAAAACCAACTAGTTGACAACTTTCCAACTAATCGATTTGGAAAATTTTGAAACAACTAATCAATTAAATCATTAACTAGTTAAATTCCGAGATATTCTATCTATTCGAGCTAGTTCGTGTTGATTTCTTTAGTTAGATTAGCCAATCAACAAATTTAGTTACATAATAGGAAAATCAATTAGTTGTAACTATAGTTGGCAACTAATCAATTAGAAAAATTTTTACTAACTCAGAATACTAATTTGGTCTTTTTACATAATATAGTCTGAATATTACCTAGTGTTGTCTCAGGTACTTTGAGTATATCAGTTCTTCTGATACTTTCCTTAGCTAAGTAGTCTGCTTGCTTATTCTATTTGTTACTACTATAACCTTTGACTTTATGTAGTGATAACTTTAGACTTTTTGTAACACAGCAGTCTTTTATCTGTCTTAATAAGCTTCTGTTTTTCATTTTAAACTAGCTTCATAACTTGTTGTCTCCTATATACTTTTCAATAGCCTATATTGCTGCTTTGCTATCAATGAATATATGTATTTGAGCCTCACAAGATGCTGTAAGCAAAGCTGCCTATATGGCTTTTAATTCTGCATGAGTTAATAAAAGCCAGTTTTCTATACTACAACTAAAACTAATCTTATTATCTGTCTCTTCCCTATTACTAACTACATAACTAGCTTCTATTTGACCAGATTCTCCTCTTTACTACTTCCTACTAATGCTTTGTTAGTATAATACCAAATAATTTTCTCCTCTTTTAGCTTCTCATATGCAGCTACTAGCTCACTCCTAATCCTTTTATTCTCTACTACTCTTTGTATAATTGCACTTTCAAGACTATTTGCTATAATCTTTACTGATATCTTTGGTTTGACTTATAATTTGTGCAAAGTTCCTTCTCTTTGATAAATGCTGATAGTAATACTCTTAATATTACTTCTTTTTTGTTTATTTTTTTTTTACCTTAACTGCTTGGAGCCCTTTATCATATCTGATACAGACTAGACACTTATTATTACCAGTGCTTCCTGTATTGTAATAGCTGCACTTTTCAAATAAGCAATCCTCTGCTAGTTAGCTTAATTGTCTCTAATGCTCAACTATTATAAGTTTCTCTGTTTTCCTTACTATTTTTTCTATATGAAAACCCTCTCTTCTTTTGAAGAGCACCCATTCTTTTTTCTGTTTATCTTTGGAGATAACTTGTGGCTGAGTTTTTATCATATTTCTATTAGGACTCCTTACTTTATATATATCTTGTACTTCTCTGAAGCTAATTTACTTTTTAATAGTATATTTTCTTTTAATAGATTACAAAAATTAGACAAAATACATATTTATAACAAAGATTAATAGAAGAACAAAGATTACTTTTATTATAAATTTATTATAAATATAATTAATAGTAATATATAATATTTTGAATTTCTAGTCAACTTTCCTTGCAGATTACTCAGACAAATTTTAATTAGAAAGAAAAAGTAAAATATATCAAAATTTTAACTAAGAACTAATACAAAAGTTACTAATAGAAAGAAAAGTAGATAAGATTTTATATTTATCAAAATAAAAGAGTAGAAGACTGTAAAGTAGAAACAAGAATACTCAAAGAAACTTTGTCAAAAAGATAACAGAAAATTTTTTTTAGAAAATTTAAGAATTTGCAAGTACTCTGAATTGTAGATCATACTTATAATACAAATATATATAAAGTAAGATAAACAAACAAATATATTAGAAAAACTAACTATATATATCATATGCAAGTTACTAAAAAAGAAGTACATAAGCCCAAAACTAAAAAGTTTTTAAATATACAGAAAAAACTCTAGAGGATTTAAAAAAAACTACAAAGTCACTTAGAATAACAAAACTAAAAATATAGGTTAAAAAAGAGGCAATATATAAAAATATAAAAAGAGATTAACAAATCATAGAATCAAAGCAAAAATATAGCAAATAAAGAAAAGAAGAATAGAATTAAAGTTTTATTTAAAGAAAAAAAACTTCAAAAATTACTAGAAATTATTAATAATATAAAAGAAGTTAATAAAAAATAGATGAGTATATCATGAGAATAATAGAACTATAAGTTAAAATAATTAAAATAGCAAGAATTTCATACAAAATTTTTAAAGAAGTAATAATTAAAGAAGGAAATAAAGTTATAGAAAATATACTCAGAGAATTAGAACAAGAACTCCTAGTAGTAATAAAGAAGAAAAAGAGAGATATAGTACAAAAAAAGAACAAAATACAGAAGTTAAGTATAGAATTAATAATTAGTAAAATAATACAAGAAAATCTAGATTAGCTAAAAAAGAGAAAGTTAAAGAGCCTTTTACTAAGCAAATAATTATTATAAAAGAAATAGAGAATTTAGAACAGAAAGCAAGAATAAAGAGTAAAATAGTAGTAGAGATTTTTTAGATTTAGATCAGATAGTAAAACAACAAACTCTACAAAAAAAGAGTTTAGAGAACAGCTATAGTGAAGAAGTAATATAGCTTCAAAGTAAACAAGAAATGATATTAGATTTAACTATAAAAGATGTATATAGTTATATAGAAAATAATATACTATCTAATTCAGAAAATACTCTATTAGAAATATCATAAAAAAAGATAATTTGTACAAAAGAGTATTGGAGAAAACAAGTAAAATATGTAATAGTATTCTATAAAGAACCAAAAAGCAGTTCACTAGAAGATAGTAATTAGGTATCTAATAAGAATAGCTATGAAAATAAAAGCAAATTTAAAGTAAAAATAACTACATATTCACTTTTAGGAGTTTTAAAAGAAGAGAGAATCAAATTCATTAAAAGAATATTATTTAAGAGTAGTTATATTAAAAGTATAGAAAAAAGCTTTGTAAAAGATAACTTCTATATTGTTATTACTTTTTATTGTCTTAAAAAAAAAGAAATTATTAGAGAAAAGCTTAAAAAGAATGAGATAGAATAGTACAAAGTATTATTTTAATACTTGAGAATAATAGGAATGCTGAAGCAAGTATCATAAAAAACAAGTTTTTAAAAAACAAAATAAGATAAGACTAAATAGAAAAATAAAAGACTCATTAAATTAAAGTATCATAACTAGTAAAGATAATTTAATACAAGAATCAAAAGGAAAAGAAAAAGACTTTATATAGATAATTCTCTGGAATATCCTATTAAAGTATAGCAAATATGAAGATTAAAGGCTCTTCAAAGGCTTCATAATGCAGATAAAATTTAAATACAGAGATACAATTTTTGTTAAGTTGCAGAAATAAAAATCTACTTGCAAAATAAAGAACAAAAAGAGTGATTATATACAAATTAAGTTACTGAGTTAGAGAATAAAAAGCTAACTCATTTAATAGTAGGAAACTATAACAAAGAAAAGTTGAAAGAGAGAGAAAAATTTAAGGCTATCTTTACAATTATTCCTAGTATAGCTTAAGTAACTTTACTTCTCAGAGCTCTTTGCTTTACAGAAGTAAAGTTAGTATATATTCTATATAACTCAAACAAAAACTCAAGTAGAATTACAAAAATATTTTTCAAATTAAGTAAAAACAAAGTAAAAATATTAAGAAAAAATATTAATTACTATAATATGAGATTTTATTAAAAAAAGTATATATTATTGTAACAAGAAAGCTATAGAGAAAATAACTTTATAAGAGACAGAGAGCAATTTGTGAATTATAAAAATAATAAACTAGAGGAGATACTAAAAAAAGCTATATATATTTAAAAGATAAAAATTTTAAAAAATATAAAGAACAAGAAAAAAAATTGAATAGAGGTTAGCAAAGTAGAAATTTAGAAAAAAACAAAATTAGCAGTATTATACGCTTACTCACTATTGCAAATGAACATAATCTGAATGATATTAATACTAAATTAAACAAAAT